TACAAACAGTAGATATCGCGAGCGATGCTACTTACCATCTCCCGCAAGTGCACCGTGTCGATGGGAGTGAGATTGGAACAGAAAAGTGCATATTGGCCGTCGGTGACGCTGTAGATACACAGCAGCACTGCAGTAATGACGTAATTCAGCAACTTGCGAGCGACGTGATTTCATGCACTCTACTTACATTGAGGACCTACGTGGTCATCGAGCTGGACGAAGAACAACTGCACGCATGTGCGTAAGAATGCGTCTTCAGCATCGTCTCCGTGGAACACGACGAATACGTCGCAGGGAGCAGTGTATCTAAAGATAGGATCAGCACTATCGCATGAACTCGAGCGAAGACAGCTTACCGCACGCTGAGAGTGAATGCGTTGGGAGCCATGAGCGAGGAGGATCTGGTTGGTCGGGGATGGGGGCACTCGCCTCTTTATGAGGCTGCGGGTAGTCACGCTCGAGTTACAGGTCAGCGAAAGCGCGTTGGGCGATCAAAGGTTGAAACGTACGAACGGAGAGTTGCACCTTGATAGATACAAACACCCACGCGGGGCCAAGGAAACAAAGCGAAAGGGGACAAACAGGGACTTAACAAAATGATGCATGACAGTTTGGCAAAGACGCATAAGGCTTTGGGGACGGCTGGCTGACGGGGCGAAGATGCGCCGGGGGTGTCCGGCGAGGAGCATCGCAGGAACTCGTTGAAGAGGAGGAGACGAGGAGGCAAGGACGAGGCGGCATTAAATTGAGGCCCGGCGGGCGGTACAGAGATACAGTTGCTAGACTCTAAACCAAGATACGAAGAAGACGGCAGGAGGCGACGTGGTCAATCGAAGCCGATGGCGGTGGGTAGCGGAGGGACCCTTCGTTTCCCGCGATATTGTGCATGATGAGCGACATATTGAAGGATGAACCTGCGGCGCATCAAGTTAGCGGGACGTCGTCGGGACGGCGTTGAACACATGGACTGGGGTACTCACTTGCGAACAGCTCGTTTGGCCGCCTCGGAAGGCCCATGCCCGCCCATGTCGAGAACGAGGTAACGCGCGCCGGAGCGCATGACGACGATCTCGGCGCAGACCGATGCGTGGGGCACAAGACGAGATATGGCTGCGTTCGGGGGCAGGTCGGGCCTCTCCTGGAAGGCGACGAGAAAGTCGATTTGGGTGTGCCGGCCGCCGCCGTCGACGCGGACGCGGCACTCGTGGATGGGATACATAGTTCCGAGGATGGTTTCGAACAAAGGGAAACGTTTGGAGAGCGAGTTTTCGACCGGGGGGAAGATCGTGAGGACCTCGGTCTGCACGGGCTCCACGGATGAGGAGGCAAAGTATAAGCCATGCAATTCTTTATGTTTCTACAGACAACGATGTCAGTGGCGCGCTAGGGAGGACGGAGCGCGGAGCGTACCTTTACGACAGGGCACGGCAGACGATGCGGCTGGGCGCGTTGAGGCGAGGGAGGCATGTCTTCGCTGCTGTCGACGATGGGGGCGGAGGTGGCGAATCAACTGTAGGAAGACGAAGGGCGTACAGAAACATACCGCCGTGCGGCATAATGGACCTTTATACCGTCCCGGCACACGTGCTGGGTGTTGGCGAGTCGTCGATGCTATATGCTAGATCGCCTGCTGGGGACCGATCCCACGACTTCCACAACTTGATTTGGTCGCCTGCCCGAAGGCAAGCGGTCGGAATTGCAGCATGAGAAAGCTACGCAGAGACAGGGCGCAAAGAGACATTCGCGCAAGGAGAGAGCGAGGAAAGTAGATTGACAGTGGAAAGATTGGAGTTCCGATACGAGGCGCTGGACTGTGGATCCGGAACGAGGCGCCTCAGCGCCTGGCGGGCTGCGAAAGTGTCACGTGATCTGCAGATCTGCACAGGCGGGCGTCTAGGCGATGGCCTCTCGAGTCCTTCAGCTCCGTCGACTCTTGACTATCGACTATGGACCCGAGACCTCTCATCCGCCCTTCCGATGCAACCAATAGACATGGGCGCCGACGCACTCGACGCCAACGACTATCAGCTTTGGACTTTGAAGTGCGATAGAGACGGCGGCAGCGGCTCTCAATGTGCTTTCGCGCGCTCACTCTGCGCATCCGCTTTGTGTCCCGCATCGCATGGGGCATAAAAGCCGAACACCGTCGAGGTACGTCCCATTTGCGCCGTCCAACAGTCCACACTCCATCCTACATAGTCTATCGTCATGATCCCGAAGTGTCCGATCTGCTCCTCGCATCTAAACCACGAGGACATCGACAGCCGACCCGTCCTCCTGAAAGCCTGCGGTGCGTTCGACTTTTCCCCGGCCTTCCTCGGTCTCTATCTAATGCGCTTCTATGTAGGCCACGTCCTCTGCTTTCCCTGCTTTCACAGCATCACCAAAATTCCCCCGTTCTTGTGCCCCTTCCGCTGCGGGGCAATGCCCGACCGCCCGGCTGCTCAGCACCGGCTGAACGTCAAGGACGGGAGGTTCGTGCACATATCCTTGAAGAAGGCCGAGCCTCTGCAGGATACGAACGCTGCGATCGAGAAGTCAGTTCTTCGCCGTCCGTCTTCAGCCATCGCTGACCGGTGACCGCATGCATCAGGAGGAAGGCCGAGCTGGTCAGGGCTCGCATGAGGGCTCAGCGCAAGTGCAAGCAGCTCAAGACGGACATCACCACTCATACGTCCCTCATACGCAATCAAGAGCGTGTCGCAGCCCGCCGGGCCAAGCACGTCGTACAGGAGGCCGCGAAGGCGGAGCGTCTGCGCGCGGAAGTCGCGCAGAAGCAGAACGCGCTCTACAAGCTTCATTCCCGCCTAAGCGACCTCGAAGGTCGAAGGTTCGCGAAGGCCCGCAATGTGAGTCCATACGACCCATTCTCGCACTTCAGCCCGGTCTCGCACGTCTCTCATTTGGTGCTGATCGCTCGTTGCAGGGCGCATCCCCGTCGCAGCCGTCCCTTATCAGTCGCATGGCACGACGCGGTGAACGGTCCTCCAGCAAGACCAACCCCCAGAGCACACCAGATGTCGGGGTCTATGTCTACGGGACATCGACGTCTGCGTCTGCGGTCCGGGTTCCGGGTCCGGGTC